TTTGAGCGGTACTATGCGGCGAGGTACGATTACATTGTGCTGTGCCAAAGTCATAGAAAAAACATATAGTCATATTTGTTATTATGTTATTTCAAAAGGGGAGGTGTGTATTATTAAGTAATAAATGCACTTAATATGGGAAGTATACCGTAATATTTTTTATTTTTAGAAAATTGTCGTTAAATTTATGATTTTTAAAGAAGTTTTGAGAAATACTATATATTTAGAAAACTTTTTGTTTTTGAATGGTTTTTAAAAAAAATTTGCATTTTTGATCATTTTTTTATAGAAAATTTTGATAATACTTTATTTTAGAAAAAATTTTCAATCAATGTACTATCTTTTAAACAAATTTTGATGAAATTTGATGGATGAAAAGTAGAAACTTTACAAAAATGCTTGGAAACCTTCCAATAATTTTTTATTGTGAAAAATTTTCCATAATTTTCTATTTTTAGAAAATTTTTAATACTTTTTTATTAAAAAAAAAAATTTTTAATTCTAAAAAATTTTCTATGAAATAGCTTGGGAAAATGTTCAATTAATTTAATATTTTCAAATTTTTTTTTTTATTCAAAAATGTCTAATCAATATTTGCATACCAACTTCCCCACCATAATTGCCTTTTTGGGCCATTAGTTAGCAAATTTGTTTTAATATCAAATTAATGACAACATAACCTTAAATATTTACTAATGCAAAAAAAAATAATAATAACAATTCCCCACGAATTTCATAATATTCACCGTAAATGTAGACATATTGCAGTTTTACAATTAATAAATCGAACTCATAATCAGCGATGGCCCAAAACCAAAATACATTCGTCAATAACTACAGCATTTGAATTTAAATATATATTTTTTTTTATAGTCTATGAAATTCAAAATATATGTATATGACTTTAGAAATACAAATAGTTTTCGTTTAAGGTAGGTCCGGTACATTACACATGCGGTATTCAGAGCCAAAAAAAAAAAAAAAATAAATAAATAAACAACAAAACACTTTCACTCGCTCTCGATACCAAAAAAAACTTAAAGCTCTTCTATATTTATTAATGCTCTTATAACAATAACCAAAGTAGTTTAGTGACTAAGAAAGAGTTGCCATTTTTTATACAAAATTTCAAATATACAATGGGAAGAAAATTTTACCTCAAAGTGTCTTTTACAATTCGAATATAAGGTTCAGATTTGTACTTATTCAATATCGATCAAAAATTTAGTGATTCCCTTCCAATCCCAATACCTAGGGTAACCCTAATCACAGCCTTTTTGTCATAAATAAGTAAATCACAAAAAAACCCACACTCACACCTTCATCTTTACTCTCTCAGCAAACAAAAACTATAACTTAAAAAATTTGGCCAAGAGAGAGAAGTCGTAATACAACTTCCAAAGTACTTTGGAACCTTGTAATAGTAGTAGTGTACATATTATTAAACATTACATTTATTTTAATTAAATCATAATGTCTACTAAAAAAATACCTACAAAATTTTTATACGTTTAAATAATTTGGCGGTTAACCACATTTTAGTTATTTGTTTATGTTTTTTTTCATACGTTTCTTATAGTATTTGTTATTGTTTTATGGTTTTTAGTTAAAATTTAAACAAATATGTCGTTTTATTTGTCATCCTCTCCCTGTTTTAATTTTCGTAAATAAGACTCTTGTCTTTTTGTTAAGTTTTGATTTTGTTTCTTGTGCAAGCCAGCCATCTACTATATGTTTAGGCCAAGTTTGTTAGTTATTTTAAGCAAAACTTGTAATCAGTTGCAGAAATTCGTTGCTTAAAAGCGGTAGTACCCTAAAGTGGCAAAAAAATATATATATAAAATTTTAATAAACAAAACAAAAATATTTCTTACACATTTAAGTGTTTAACATATTATTAAAATAAAACTAGTTAATAAAACCTGTTAACAGATTTTTAAGAAAATTATCATCATGAATCTACAGCAAGTGTTTAGTTTAACCTTATTACCCTGCTTATATGTTTTATTTATTTTACTGAGTGAATTGGTGGAAAATGGCTTGGCCCAAAATCCAGATCCTTTATTTGAATTACCCGTACAGCTGGTGGGTTTTCCGGTGATTGTATTGTCTGTACGTTTATCGCAGTTTGCCAAAAAGTTGGCCTATTCTTTGAATCCAAGTAAGTTGTAGTAAGATTTTTTTGGTTTAAAAGATAAAAAGACAGGATTTTAATAAAACAATTTTCAAAATACAAAATTTATCGAAAAATGTCTATAAGAAGTGAATTTATGTAAGATTTTCTATACAAAGAGAATTTATGGAAAATTTTCCAAACTAAATTTAAAATGTATAGAAAGAACATTTTAAAGAAAATTTATCGAACATTTTTTATAAAAAGACAATTAATTTATCGAAAACTTTTCTATAAACAGCGAATTTATCGAAAGTTTTTTATAAAAACAGAATTTCTGAATTTTTTTTTTATAAAAAGAGAATTTATCAAAAATGTTCTCTAAAAAGAGAATTTATGGAAAATTTTTTATAGAAAGAACATTTATCTAAAATTTGTCGTTAAAAAAGAAATTATCGAAAATTTTCTATAAAAAGAGAATTTATCGAAAATTTTGTATAAAAAGAAAATTCATCGAAAATTTAGTATAAAAAGAAAATTTATCGAAAATTTTGTATAAAAAGAAAATTTATCGAAAATTTTGTATAAAAAGAAAATTTATCGAAAGTTTTCTATAAACAAAAAATATCGAAAGTTTTCTATAAAAAAAATTATCGAAAGTTTTCTATAAAAAAAAAATATCGAAAGTTTTCTATAACAAAAAAAAAAAATATCAAAAATTTTCTATAAAAAGAAAATTTATCGAAAATTTTCTGTAAAAAGAAATTTTATCGAATTTATCGAAAATTTTCTATAAAACGAGAATTTATCGAAAACTTTCTATAAGAAGAGACTTCATCGAAAATTTTCTATGAAAATAGAATTAACCGAAAAGTTTATATAAAAAGAGTATTTATCGAAAAGTTTACTAAAAAAAATTATCAAAAATTTCCTGGAATTTATCGAAAATATTGTATGAAATGCTTCTCCTTTGTGAAATATTTTATAAAAGAAATTTATCGATAATCTATATATATAAAAGAGTAGCGTTACTGACTGACTGATTCATCATCGCACAGCCCGAACGGCTGAACCTAGAATCATGATATTTTGACAGTAGATGTTTTTTGGTTATGTAGATCCACTAAGGATTTTAAATGCACCATAACTACTCTTAAAGTCAGCAGACGGGTGTATGGTACTTTTTTGAAATTCGTACTTTTAAGAAGTGAAAATGTGCAACAAAGGTGATTTTGGTACCTTTTTGGCCCTTTTTAACTTTTTAACTAAAAACTTAATAAAATTTTTTTAAATATTTTGGATATATCTTCCAAAATTATGAGACACCTGTTTCGTACTTTATTAAAATTCAGTCCTTTTTGGGTGTAAAACTGAGAAAACTGTATTTTTGGTACTTTTTTAGCAGATTAAGAAAACTTTTTCGACTTTTTTGGTACTTTTTGAAAGCACACTTTTTCTGAAACAAATGAATGCAGATATGAATCGTTTGAGTTTTATCTGTGACATATATAGATTTAAACACGAAATATTTTGTAAACTTAATTCTCGATAAAGTCTATTCCTAGACTAAAAGGGGGAAAATGGTACTCTTTTTATTAGTACTTTCCACAAAGATAGAATTTATTCCACTTTTTTTACTTTTTCTTTCTTCAAATGATACTTTGTACTGGTATGAGTTCAAAACACATGATTGTTAAACTTACTCGGTTCTTTTTGAATGTGATTCTTTAAGAGAGATCTTTTTAGTACTTTCTATCTTTCAAATGATACTTTTTTAAGAAACATAAACATTATAACATACATTGTCCTGACTGAATAACAATCTATAAGTGGGGAATCTTTGGTACTTTTCCATTCTTTAAATAGTACCTTTTGGATTCTCTATAATGGGGAACCGAAACACATGACATGTGGAAGCTAAACGAATGAAAATAAAAATACACGCTCCTTACTGAATGCGAATTTATTCACGTAATAAATTTTGATAATATTGTATATAAAAACAGAAACATTAAAAAAACTTTAATCAAATAAAATTTTCTGTAACAGTTTTTTTCCTCAAAATAAACACAGTATTATAAATGCACTCTTGAACTGATTTTTCTTTCCTCATCCCTGCCACACTCAAAATTCTTAATGTTAACTAGAGAAGAAAAAGCTTGAAAGCTTTGCACTTGACATTAGGCCTTTTAACCCAATTATTTTTGTTGTATTTTTTGACGTTACCAAAGTACTAAACAACAATAAAACAATAACCCTTAAAAAACCTCTTCTCAGCATATGGTTGTGTACAAGTATCAAAAGGTCTTTAACTTTAGTCACGGCACGTACTTATAACTTCTTCGAAATAAATTTGTTGCTATTATTTGTTTGTTTTTTATTTAAACGTGGATTTTTTTTATTCAAATGCATATAATAACAACATACGATAGATACATGTTTTACCAATAACTCTGAAGAGGCTAAAAAGCATAACAAAGTATACAAGAAATATAAATATAAAAAATACACATAAAAATGGGTCAAGGCTATAGCAAAAATCAACAAGTTTGTTTGGGGAAATACCTCTACATGCTAAGTTGAAGTAGATACTTACCACTACCAAGTAACATATGTACGTGAAAAAATACCTTAAAGATTCATTTACATATACAAAAAAAAAATATTTCTTGAATGAAATTTTAAAAAAAGTAACAATATTATTATAAAAAAAAATATAAGTGCTATGACATAATAAAGCATGAGAGTTTTTTAAATAATACAAATAGGAAATTGTTTAGATATATGTTAAAATAGCTTGAGATTTTATTACACCAAGTTTAACCTTCAATTATTTATTTTTCTTTCAATTAAATTGAAATTGTGTTTTTTTTTTTCTTCTTTACAGATACTTACCGTGCTCGCAGCAAACGTGATACCGCTCTATTAGCATACGATGCTGATGTTGCTCAAAAGGAAATTTTACGTGAATTTGGTCCTAGAGCATGCATCTTAGAGGAACCTTGTCGCATACATGCCTCACGTCCCGGACGTGCTTCACAAACTAATCTTAATTGGCAAGAAGTTTTCAGGTAGGTCATCAAACTCTTTTGTTGTTAACAAATAACAACAACAACAACAAACTTCTTTATTTTTTATTTTTGTATATTTCAATGAGTTTATGGCTCATTTGTTATTGAAAAAATTGCTTTGTTTTTGTTACACTCGAAAAATTTGCTTCGTTAAAAAAAATTTATTATGGGAAGTTTTTTTGGACTTAATGGGAAGGTAAATTATGTTAATGTGGAAAATAAAACTTAAATATTTTATTATTTCATTTAAAATTAATTGGAGATAAAACTGAACCTTTAAAAAAATGTAGTCAAATAATTAAATTTGATGTGCCAGGCCCTGAATAGTTGTTTCCCGGGTAATATTACTATAACATGTTCAATCAGTTCCGTATTATGAATCATTTAGTTCGTAGCCCCAGTAATTACTTCCAAAAAAAATTATTAAAATGTTAATGCTCATTTATAGGTCTTCATTTAAAGTTTTCTGGATACCTCTTTTCGGTGTCTGTCTTTCCGAATGTTTTATAACATCAAGTTTTTCTTTAAGAATCCAAAGAAATTACCAAAAGAAACTTAAATTGTAGTTCATAAACTCAGACAAACGATTTGAATCATTACTACTCTCAGCAAGTTTAATCAATTGAAAAGCTTAAGATTCACTTGAAATATAACAGATCGATTTTTATGACCTTTCCATTCTAACATTCCCTATTATTGCAATGTCACCGTTTACATGTGTAATGAGTTGAGATTTTTCGATAGTTTTTCATTCTTTCTTAACAACATTTACCGACGACAGAGTACTTGATTTTATTTTTTTATAGATTTTTTTTTTTTTTTTTCGTAAAATGTCATTGTCAAATGCATTTCATTTGTTATTATTGCTTTAGCTAGATAATACTGTTGCTGCATTTGGTGGTAACAACGACAGCAGCATGTTGTTGAAATGTTTTTCAATCAATTTTTATTTGAAAAGTGCCAACTCATTTGTGCATAATTTAATGTCTTCTTCACTTGTAAAACTCTAAGATAAAACATGAAAAACTTTGTCCATATATTAATTTCGTACAAAAAAAAACTTCTAAAGATGTTGACAAGAGTTAAAAACGTTGTTGGTTTGTTTGTTAAATTTGTTGGAAAAGATTTGTAGTTAGTTGTTTTTTTTTTTTTTTTTGCTAAAAGTATAAAAGAAAATTGAAAAAATTTACATTAATGAGCAATTTTTAGAAGAGTTGCCAAATTAATTTTTAAAATTTAGAAAATTTTAAAAGATCAACAATTTTTCTAAAAGAAATTGTAATCTTTTTTATAATAGAAAAAAGTCAAAAAGTTTCTATAAAACGAAAATTTATCGAAAATTTTCTATAAAACGAAAATTTATCGAAAATTTTCTATAAAAAGAAAATTTATCGAAAATCTTTTATAGAAAGAAAAATTATCGAAAATTTTCTATAGAAAGAAAATTTATCGAAAATCTTTTATAGACAGAAAATTTATTGAAAATTTTCTGTAAAAAGAACATTTATCAAAAATCGTCTGTATAAAGAAAATTTATCGACAATCTTCTGTATAAAGAAAATTTATCGATAATCTTCTATAAAGAGAAAATGTGCCTATAGAAAGAAAATTTATCGAAAATTTTCTATAGAAAGAAAATTTATCAAAATTTTTTGAAAATTTATCGAAAATTTTCTATAGAAAGAAAATTAATTAAAATTTTTTGAAAATTTTTCGAAAATTTTCTATTGAAAGAATTTTATCGAAAATTTTCTATAGAAAAAAAAAAAATTAAGAAAATTTATGGCAATTTTTTTTTTATTAAGAGAAACGGGGTTGGACTCAATTTATCAATAGGGGCCAAGTATCTAGGGACCTTCCTCGACCGCAAATTGTCTTGGAACAAGAATGTTGAGAGTGTAGAGGCTAGGAACTTATTTAGACTGTTTGAATCAGCTGACTATTTGGTTACCGCCTTAGACTTCGGTGTAACACATTCAATAGTGATTCCTAGTAGGGACGAGTGGATTGGGTCTGAAGTACTTTTTGAGAGGTGTGCAGTCTTTACTAACGGATCCAAGATAGAATCTGGTACAGGGGCCGGATTTTATTTGGTTGATGACAACATAACAGTGTCCTATAGACTTCCGGATGAATGTATCGTCTTTCAGGCGGAGATCTTGGCGATCCAGAAAGCCGTACGATGTACTGGGAGATGTAGCAGGGTGTGACATTTTAAACTAAATTTATATTAAATTATTTTATTAAAATAAATTTTTTTGAAAATTTTCTATAATAAGAAAATTTGTTGAAAATTTTCTATAGAAAAATTTATCTGAAATTTTCTAAAAAAAAAGAAAATTTATCTAAAATTTTCCAAAAAAAAACGATCATCAACTTTTTATAAAAAAATATCGAAAATTTTCTATAAAACGAAATTTGATGAAAAATTTTTCATAAAAAGAACATTTATCGCAAATTTTTTTATAAACTGAAAATTGATGAAAAATTTCCTCGTAATAAAACATATATCGAAAATAATCTCCTTTTCCTCCATTGTCATGTAAAAATATTTCAAAAAACTTCTTCAACTTTAACTGATTTCCCTTTAACTTTATTATTTCATTTGCACATGGTTTTTATAATTCCTGATTAACGTTTATTGTTCGCTAAAACGCAAAGTTAAAAAGAAAAAATACAAAACTTTTTACGATTGTTCACAACACAGTCATATCGTTTAATTCACTATTGCGCAAGAAAGAAAGAAAAAAAAAATAAAACAATTTTTATTTTCCATAATTTTATGATCTGAAATGACAATATACATAAATTAAAGCGTAAGAAGAAAAATCAATAAAAAAAGTTATAGTTGCTAAGATTTTTAACAACTATTTTTGCGCTTTTGTTCTAAAGACACTGACCTTACGCAATATAATAAATATTGAGGTACTAAAGAAAACAAAGAAAGTTTAAGGGAACTATAAATGTAATGCAAACATTGAAGTAATAAATTTACACAGAATTTTTTCAAAGCATTTATTTAGGATAATTAAATATTGCAGAATTTAAGGAGGAAAATATACAGTTTTTTCGATAAGAAATGAAAATTTATTAAAGTAAGAGTTTATATACAATTTAGGAATTTATAATAAATTTAACCCAAATAATAACTATTTCCAAATTTTATCAGTTTTCTATAGAATTAATTTTTTTGGTTTAACTTAAATATCTGTTGTTAATACATTCTCTAATGGCTGCCATATTAAAGCATACTTTTGTGCGTTTCTTTGTTTTGTCTGTACAACAAAAAACTTATATTAAATTATAATTTACTTATTTGTTATCTGGGACTTAAGTTTGACCACAATTTTTAATCATATTTTGTTATTATTAAATTTTATAAAATTGTTCCTTTTCCCCCTATTCCAGTTAGCAGTCTTTATATAATTACTTTTGTTAGTTTGCAAAAAAGAACCTTTGTTCAAACAAAAATATGGCAGGACATTTGTCGCATGTAAATAAAGGAATTACTGAAGACTGCTAACTCCATATAGTTACTACTTCTCTCTCCATTACCCTTAAAACAAGCAACAAAACCTTGATAAATTTTTGAAACTTAATAACTAAAATAAACTCTTACTCTCGGTGATACCAACTCCTTCCACCCAACTTTCCTAGAAAAAAACCGAAATGAAAAATTTTTGAATTTGTATGCATGCACTTGACATATGTAAACTTTTTCTACTCTATTGTATTGTTGTAAGTCTTATGTTTAAATAAGTTCAACATTATTATTGTTGTTGGAATGGAGAGTGTGAAATGTTACCGTTTTTTTTTTTTTTTTTTTTTTGTTTTGTAGTAAAAATAACAAAAATATATGCAAATATTATCATCGTATTAGAAACTTTACTTAAAGTGTTTGTTTTTGTTGGAGTTTTTTTTTTCTGAACAACCAGCTTATTTTAACAATGTGTTGATAATGGTGTTTTTCTACACATTTACATAAGTGTATTAGGGTGGCACATATTGTAAAAATCTAATAAAATACTAAATCAAATTGATTTCATATTTATTATACCCTTCACCTTCACGAGTTTATATAAGTTTGTTATTCCGTTAGTAACTTCTACAACATAATTTTCCGACCCTATAAAGTATATATATTCTGGATTCTTATAAATAGCAGAGTCGATTAAGCCATGACTGTCTCTTAGTCGGTCTGTCCGTCCGTCCGTCTGTCTGTGTGTGTGTTGAAATAAATTTTCTGAAGACCCTAGATATCTTCGGGATCCAAATCTCAAATAATTCTGTTAGACATGCTTTTGAGAAGTTTATTATTTAAAATCAGACAAAATCTGTCCATAAATAACTGAGATTTGAGCAAAAATCCAAGACTATCTCTGAAAATTTCATCAAAAAAGAGAATGTTAGTGCATGCTTTGAAAAAAAACAACAACAACATTGTATTGGAAAAAAACGTATGTTTGGATGTATGTTGGTTTCATTGTTTTGTGTATTTTGTTTTTGTTTGTGTTTTATTTCGTTTAGCGTAGTTGTTGTAATGGTAGAGTGTGAAAAAATGAAATAAATTGAAATTGTATAAAATTAATCTTTTTTTAAACACACTATGGTGAAGGGTATATAAGATTCGGCAAAGGCCAATATAGACTTCCTTGTTATACCCTACATCACTATAGTAGGGAGAGTATTATGCGTTTGTGCTGATGTTTGTAACACCCAAAAATATTGGTCCTACATCCTCCTATGTCCGTCTCTCCGTCCGTCTGTCTGACTGTCTGTTTGTCTATCTGTTTCACACTCTCCATTCCAACAACAATAATAATGTTGAACTTATTTAAACATAAGACTTACAACAATACAATAGAGTAGAAAAGTTTACATATGTCAAGTGCATGCATACACATTGACCCAATCCCCCCTCCTTCAGAAAATTACTTCATGGTCAAA